AGGCCAAAAGTCCTTACGGTTACTTATAGTTATTATTTGCCATTTTCACCACTTGTTTAAAGGTCCAGTGTGTAACATTTAGGAGGCTCTATATGCAGAAATATAATATCCATAGGTGTGTTTTCATTAGTATATAAACACCTGAATATAGGAATAATTATGTTTTTGTTACCTTAGAATGAGCCGTTTATATCTACAGACACTGTGGGTCACCTTTCATGGAGGAACTGCCATGTTGAAGCCCAGAACGCACAAACAAAACACTTGCTTTAGGGTTGTTTGAGTTTTTCGCAGGTTTTACGGTCACGTCTCCTCTGCGCTTGGAAGAGGAGGGTGAAGCAACAATCTGCAATCTGCAATCTGCAATTACACCACTAGATGCCACTGAATCGTACACACTGGACCTTTCAAATATCATATATAAAAATGCTTAATCACCATAAAATGAGACTGATGAAATTAACTTTATCTCTGTGGGTCCAGTAAAGATGTCCAGGTTGACTTCAGTCTTGCTTAGCTTAAGGAGGAGGCAGTGGACTTTAATTAACAGTGAACACGACTAGGTCAAAACCTAGTGTATGGTTGTACGGTCAATGTGCTCATGACGATGTAACTGAGGACTGCCCACGCTTCGCTGTAAAGCTGCGTTTATGCTTGACATAGTGTCAAGATGGATGTTATTTTTCTCACGTTGTTGAATACAAAAGCTCAACCTTTTGTTTCATCAGATTACATTTCTCGTTCCAAACACTTGACTTCTTGTCAGCAAAGCAAGTTAGTCAGCAAAACATACAAGTCACCTGGAGCACAGCACAACAGTGGGCAAACCTGGTACCAGGACTTCTTTGAAGGGTTACAATGAAATCAGGGTGCATTTTGCTGTAAGAAATAGTATTGTAACAGCATTATTTCTCTGCATGTCGGTGTGTTGATTTTATTTAATTATCTTGTAATATTTTCAGAGATGTGAATTGAACTCTACACATTCTGGATAATACATTAGTTCAGTCTTGGGAGAGGCCACTCTGAGCAACTTTTTTCCACATTAGAGAAGTGAAGCCATTGTGCAAACTTCTCCTTTAAAGTGAATGAACAGGGCTGATTTGACTGACCATGATTGATGCCATGCTGTAAACCACCCCACTGATAATGTACTGCTCGTAATCCAACCCCAGTTTCAATATATGCTGCAGGTGCGTCCAATGCCTCTGGCTACATGAATACCAAACATAGTCACCACACCCTGTGCACCTTGTGCCTTGTCTGGTTGACTGCCCTTTACCCCACGCACCATTGGTTATCCCATAATGTGAAGGGCGGAGATGCTCTGACTGTCAGGTGCTGTAAGAGTGAATTTGTAAGTACTGTGTTTATGAAAAGGAGCAGTGGAGAGGCACTGCTATACTATATCAAATTCAAGACCATGCCTCAGCCATGCTTAAGTATCTTTTCATGAAGATATGCACAATATAAATGTTGAATTTGATCCACCAACATGTAGCTGCCAATGGAAAATACTCAGATATGATGTGATTCTTAATAGGAATCTGTTGGTCTATGTTATAGTTATCAAGCTTCCATAGACATAAAGCTGATTGTCAGACATCATGTCAGACCTTATGGCCTGCCAACCATTCACTGGATCGCTGAAATTCTACATATGAAGCTTTCAGTTGTCAGGACAAATCATTTGCAAGAGTGTCACAGATGCAAAAGACCCTCACATTCACTTAAACGTTTTGTCATCTCATGCTAATTTAATATTCCTGTTTTCCACTAAGTCATTTTGTATGTCAGAAAGTGCAGTTGTAGGTGTTTCCCCACATATTTGTGTGTATGTAAATGTGTGTATAACTACTTTATTTTAAATGCTGTATACCCAGATATACATACATTAAAATGCAATAAAATTGGATCGGATTATTGAATGGATTCTAACACAATCTGGTTCTCCACATTCAACAGGTCAAATCTAGCTGGTTAGTTCTTTACAACATGCTATGGTGAGTTTCATGCACACAACACAAAACACAACTAGCAGCAATTTAGACTTTAAACAGTCAGCTGAAGAGTTTAGCAGGAGCTGCTGGTGGTTCAGTGTCTTCTTGCTCAAAGGTCTTTCGTGGTAGCTGTTGATTCATTCAGCTCTTCATTAATGTGCTTTCCTGTGTATTTTGGGTTAAACAGACAGGGAGGTAATAGGTAACCCTAAAAACAACAATCTCCTCGAGGCAGGAAGTGCACTGTTTGTCTCTGCATTCTTTCAACTACTTCACTCTTTATTGCCACATCTGAGGTTTTAAAAGCATGTGGACTTCTTAAACTTGTGGATATTAGGCACTAGTAATGTGTTATTACATCTATTTATTTAAATATGTATTTAGTTATTTTTTGACATCTCCCACTGACACGGCCTGTACGGATACCTGGATTATCCGTGCAATGTGTGAATCTCCTTTGTCAATATCCACCCAGTCAATTATCCACAACATCAGATTAGTGAGGAAAACTACTGGTATTCAACCGTAGCATTAAGAGTGTAAATTACTGTAAGTAAATGCAGTTGCACTTTACATGTACTACTTGTTTTTGTACTTTTTCCATTACACAGAACAAATAGGGGATAGTAACATACTGTTGTTTATTCCACTATTGTATTGTATTACGTGTTCCCAGATAAAGGTTGTACATTATAAACATATGATAACAACAGAAACTGATACTTGGCTGTGATTTAATCCACCATAAATGAGTCAGACATAGCAGTATGAACCAGCGTAATACTTTTTATTGTGCTTATGTTATCAGCAATTTAACTTTGATAGTTCAGTTCAGTTTTGCCTAACTGTATAGAGTTTTGAATGCATGCTATAAATGCTAATACTTAAATGCTGCTTATTACATGTTTTTAACAATTCAATAATCTAACAGTCTCTATTATTTTTTTTAACTAAGGTACATTTTGCTGCTAATATTCTTCAAACCAGGCAAAACTCTGACTCAAACCAGGCTAAGCAATCTGTAACTACACTACTGGATGCCACAGTGGTCCGTTAAGTTGTCACTGCCTACTTTTTACATTCTGATTTTACCTAAAGAATCTGAATATCTCACTCTGATGTATATTAAAGTAAAAGTTACTTATATAGTATGAAAACCTGTATGAGCTGGATTACCAACTGAAAACAGGCAGATGCCCCAAGACCCCAGAACACCAGGTGTCCAAAAAGCCTAAGGTTCATGCTGTGTCATAGTAATTTATTTAATTGGTCATTTGTTTATGAATTAGCACAATTAAAGTGAAATATGAATACGGTTGGGTACATACATGATTACATAATTAAGTCACTGTCTTTAAGGTGCTGTCTAAAAGTGTAGTTTTAATACTTTATTTTAGTTTATATTGTGCACAAACTTGGTGCATATTCCTAAATAAAGTTGTTTTTATCCAAATTGTCTCAACTAACACTGAAAACCTGCAATGGGCCATGTTACTATTCGTTAACCACAGGAGAAGAACTGCACAGTAGTTAATGCACAGTTTTATTTAAGTATATTTACTTAAGTATACTTTTGCAGATTGAGATTAACAATATAAAATATAATGAACAAATACATTATGATTTACTATTAGATGATACAACTTTATTGAGCCACATGGATAAATTAATAAGCTACCAATATATAAAGTAGCCTCAACTTTACCAGCTGCAACAGTAAAGTGAAGATTACATGACTGCATCAATAACTATAATCCAATATCACAGGCTACTTATTCTTTCACTTAATTAAAGGTTTGAATGCATGGCTTTTACTTGTAACAGAGCAGTGATAAAATAAGTACTCAAATTAGTAACACCAGTCTGTCACACTCTTGCATTTCAAATCTTTAAAAGTACAAAAAGTTTTAGCTTTAAAATACACTTAAAGCAACAAAAATAAAAGGGCTCATTATGCAGAATGGACCATTTCAGAATCATATTATATCACTGGATTATAATTATTGGTGCATTAATGTTTAAGCATCACGAGCAAATTTCAACTACTACTACTATTATTCCATAGCAATACATCATAATGTATTAATTTATTCATATTTTGAATTATTCTGAATCGGCAAGTAACTAGTAACTAACAACAGAAATGTAAGGGAGTGAAAAGTATAATATCGTCTGGAGTGTAAGTATAAAGAAGCATAAAATTTACCTCAAATACGTAAAAATTATAGTTAAATTCAGTATATAGTACATTTACATTCTATCACTAGTATTTCTACACTGTGCTTTTACTTATGTGAAATATTTATGCACATATATAAACAAAAAAAAAAACGTAAAAGAGAGCAAATGTGACTTTTGAAACTTTGGGTTGCCCTGGATACGTGTGTGCACAGTTTTACCTGACTTTGTAATGTTAGTGTAACTCGTGGTTAGCCGGTTGGAGCGTGCAGCGGTTGGCAGCACACTCTGACGTTATGGTGCAGGTTTTTTTTTTTCTCTTTTCTCTCAGTGTTGCACAGGCCGGGCCCAGTGCTGCAGGTTGTCCGGTAGGGTGCCTGCCGAGCTACAAGCATGCTGTTGATGTCAGGAGCCGAGGAGGGGAACGTGAGGAATGGCTGAAAAACTGACGGTGCTCTCCTGTTAGGAAACACAACCAACAACGGCAAGCGAATTGCCCTGGTAACCGAGAACAGATTCCACCGTTCTCAGACCAGCCGTTTTGGCCACGCATTAACAAGGGCACCGCTCGTTTTCGTTTTTTTTTTTTTTTTTGTTTGTGGTTATTTAATGGGACAACGAAAACGCAAAAAAACGCAAGGTAGGCTACCGCTCCTGTCGCCAGCCCTGCTACTTTATTTTCATGGACTAATACGACACGCAGAGGTGTGGGGGGGGTTGAGAAATGTTTCACGGCAAGGTAAACCTCTCGTCTTCGAAGCCAGTGTTTGGTTCTTAACACGAGCTAACCGTTAGCGTGGATGTTCTTTTTTTGTCAGTTGGGGGGGAGTTCGGGCTCGTGAATGTATGAGGTGCTCGGACGTTATATCTTGTTTTGAAAAGCGTCGGTTAGGCTTCATCTCTTCATGCCCTCCGCCGACCAACCACATGAGAAGTCGACGTCCGGAATAGATTTAACCACAAAACAAAAGCCCCCCTTTCCTCTCCTCTCTCTCCCTACACCCCCCTCCACCTCCTCCTCCTCTCCTCTCCTCTCCCCCCCCGTGCTATTTTTTTTAATCGCTTTCACCTGAAAACCGACGAGGAGAAAAATGCGTGTGGATTTGTTTTGGATATGTTTGTGGTGTTTCCTTCGTCCCGGTGCCGCCGGTCAAGGGCAGTCGACGGCCGTTTGTTCGCCCTCATGCAGCTGCGATGAAGATGGGGGTGCAGACTGCTCCGGGAGAGGACTCACCACCGTCCCAACCGGGCTCAGAGCTTTCACCTACTACCTGTAAGTCCTAACTGTGAATTACAACCTAAAAGAAAAAAACATGTCTGTGCACTTATAAATGCCCCTAACGTGAAAGGCCTGAGTAGGGGATGATTGTTGTGTTTACATCGCAAATGAATAATGGGCATTGGACATCACCACAGGGTGAACTTTCGTCAAATGGCTCGCCATAGAAAAAAAAACTCCTAATGAAGACGTTAAGGAAGAGTCCTAACTCAAGTTCAGTGTAACTACACACAGTTCAAGATTGAAAAAAATCTTTAAAAAAGTTAAATCCTTCACTGAAACAATGTTAAATCAGCCTCTACTTATGTTGTAATATAGGGCTGCAACTACTGATCACATGCATTATTAGTTAATAGTTTTTGGGAGTATTAAATTGATCAACAATTTTTAGAGTCTAAGTACAGAAAACCTACTGGCAACTAATCGATTGATCATGTGAAGTAATTTTTCAAACAAAAATGCTTAACAATGTCTGGTTTCAGTATCTCACGTGTGCACATTTGATTCCTTTCTTTGTCATTTATGATAGTAGATTGAATATTGTGGAGTTTTGGCTATGTTGCTTGGATAAATAGGCAAAAAGTCATCTTGGACCTGTCTCACTACTTTTATTTACCTTTACAGCTATGAATGAGATAATGAGAATAAGTGTTAGTTGTTACATTTAGTGTATGAATTGTCAAAATAGTGAAAAATGCCCATTACAAGTTTCCAGAGCTAAGGTGAGTGCTTGCTATCTCCAACCAACAGGCAAGATATTCACTTTACCATTATATAAAAACTTTAAAAAGTTGCAAAACACCTCACATTGGAGAGTTTGGAATCAGTCAACGTTGGGCATTTTTGCTTGATTAAAGACTAAATGCTAAAGCGATATTATTTACCTGTGTCCAGCATCAGGTTGCGTCTTCTGAGGTATTTTGTGAATTTAAAGATGTTAGAAATTGCCCTAAATGTTAAAATATTTGTCTGAGGCCAAACCAGCGTTTAAATCCAAGATCTACACAGATTGAGCCTCTCTGCTCTGCACGTCTTCTTCACTAAAATATACATTAAGTCTTCTGTATGAGCTGTGGCTGGTGCAGTCTGTGGAAATATTGGATTTAAACATTGGTTTGGCTCCTGACAAACATTTTATTTTCATGGGCAAACAGAAGACATTTCTGGGATCACAAAAATACCTTCAGAAGACACAACCTGCTGCTGGATAACCGGTAAAAACGTAACGTTTTCCCACTAAGGTTTGAGTTGGAAATGCTATGTGACCGAATCACAAAGTAATGTACGAAGGTTACAAATAGGGTCAGATTTGGGTGAGTAATGCTGCATGGCTTGTAGCCAACAGTGCCTTGTTCCCAGTGCTGTATGTGTAGTACAGAATAATTAGGAGTCAAGCTTGTGCTGTTATCACATTGTCACCACAAGTCTAACTGAGAGCCAAACTACTGCTTCAAGTAAGGGCATGGATTTTTTAAAGTAAAACGTGGAGCACCAGGTAGGGTAGATCTTTTATGGAGTGGTGCAGATACAGTTGATGATTGCCCCATGAAGAAACTCCACTGTTTGTTTCACAACCTCTGGGTTAATCATAAACTGAAGTAACCACCTTTGCAAATTTGTTGTGGCTCTTTGTAAGTACTGTGCTCCTTGAAAAAAGGGAATAGAAGACAGTATGACCATGCGTTTACATAGGCACTTGTCCATTTAAATTGTGTTATTTGGGAAAGAAAAAGTGCAGAGGTTTGTTCTTGTTTGTGGGAACCCTCTGTAGTGTTTTGTCACCTTTTTAATAATGGTGTCCCAAGCCCCGCTACACCAGAACCAATATTGTGCCATTTGAAATCACCATTATTAAGACAGTGTTAGGTAAACAGAGGAAGTGGATTTATATACCAGGCTGTCAAGACATGTCAAACTAGGCCCACTGCTTACAGCCGGAGCTCTCAGCGTACTACTCTGGGGAAAAAAATACTCCCAATTTATTATGGGCAGTCTGGCTTCTCAATCACAGCATGAAACAATGTTTTCACAAAACGATATGATAGCTGTTACCGCCACTCTGCTGGCCCATTATATGCCAAAATGGAAAACAATATGTTGTTTTCAAGATTGTGCTATCTTCTTCGTCCCACAGTCGGTTATCTAAATGCTCAGTCAGTGACAGGTTTTAAACACTAAACTGCCTAATATATTCACTCCAAACTCTTAAAAGTATGTGAAAGGTTGTGTGTCCCTCTCTCTGTCCTCCTCTCATTTGTTCTCCTGGTCTCTTGAACTTAAGTTGTCCTCTCCCACTCCCTCCGTCTTTTGTATGTGGAGCACTGGGGTTAGGGATCATGATGGATTAGTGAGACATATTGCAGCTGCAAGGGCTCCTTCTCTCAGGGCTAATGCACCCACAATGGTCTGCTGATGTGTAAAGGGGAAATCTCATATACAAGTCTTCATTGCAATATTTGAACTGAACTTGTGCCAATTTGTAGTTATCATGTCTTTAGAATCTGTATAATTGAATAGTGACACTGAAAAAAAAAAAAAACACCTAAAAAGTACAGTCTCATGGAGGACCACACATTTTACAATAAATCATGTGACAACATGAGAGTGGACTCTTACCTACAGCCCACAGGGGCTTGAGTTTTGGCATCTGTAATGGAAACAGCTCTCTCTCAGAAAAGCAGATGAGAGAAATAAGGAGGCCCCTCAGACAGTAACAAAGCAAACACTCCTTTTGAAGGTATGTAGTTTACCTGCCACTAGTCTATGCACAGGTTTCGTTTTTGGTATAGTATCTGCATGAACTCTTATGTGTTTTAAGGTAGCAAAAGGGGAGGGCAGGGGGGTTATTGCAGCTTACATCTTGGTTGTGTTACGTCCTTTCATAGCATGAACAAGGTTGTGACTTAGGGAAAAAGGAGGGGTGGCGTCAGGGGTCTTGCACTCTGCTGGTGGAGCTTGCCGGCCTCACCATTGGTGCCCTCAATCCATTTTTAACTGAATGATACTTTTGTTCTTGGTCAGTAGAGGTGAAAGGAGCCAGTCAGTGGTTCCCACTCCCAAACAGGATGACTTGTAGATGGGAGAATATTAACGCTGTCTCCCCCCTTCTCTCCAGAACCCTGTCCTCCACTAATACACCTATTCCCACCCCCCAACACACAGTTTCTAACTGCTATTGATTGCAGGGTTTCTGAATGTTGTGCCCAGTATTCACAAATTAAATATTATTTCAAGCTTAGGTAGGTATAAATGTAAGGTTTTAGGTTTTTGGCTTAAAATGTGTTGTATACTTTTCACGTTTTAAATATTATCAGACAAAATCTTTGGAAATGGAAGTTTTACTTTTATCAATGACTGATTGCTTAGATGGTAAGACTGTGATTTCCTTTGGGACTCCAAAGACAGACAAGTGGGAGAGGGTTCAAGGTAACTTAAAAGGATGTAAGAGTTTTCAGAATGATTGCCAGATGCTTGGAAGTTAATTTGAAACATGGGAAGTATTTTTATACACAGTGTTTGTCATATGGAGAGCACATCAAGGACTTGTGACCACAATTATGTAGTAATCCTTGGTAGTTGACATTTATCCAGGTGGACTATGAATAACTTATAGTAAGTATAGTAGCCCTAGACTGGGGCAGAAGGAGGAGCTGCTAATTTTGCATCCCACCAGTCATCTATGAAATACCTGTGCTGTACCTCCCGTTTGTTTCTGTTATTAATGTGGTGTAATACATATACAGTAGGTAAGCTTTAAAATGTATTGTGTATGTGTTTACTGATATGCATTTATATTAGGTGTCTATGCAACACTCACAGTGTTTGACAATGCTGGTTAGATTTTGACAAAACTGTGCAGAGTTATGCTTGTCATTGCATTGTTCTTGTATTTTCAGTTTTACACTGAAGGGTCTCGGAGTGTGCTGCAACATTAGTTTAATTGTAGGTTACATACAGTATCTTATATGTCCTTGATTGTACGATTTAAGGAAACTATGATGCATCGCTCCTTTGGCCTAATGGACTGATAATAAGGTTGACAGTTATTCTTGTCTTGTGTGTAGTAAAAATGAGCAAAGTTGTGAATTAGTGCCTGATTACAAAATAAAAGGGGGGGAAAAGACTGTGTAGGTAGACATACAGTTTCTCAAGAGTGATAGAAAACTTGGTTTCAAATGAAGGGGAGTTTGGAAAAGGGCTTGATCTTTGCAATGCATTTTACTTTGCAAAAATTGTTTAGAAAAAAAGGGAAGGTCTTCACCTGTGGAAATCAGGTTTCACTTATTAAAAAAATAAAGTTAAAGAAAAACATAAAGGAAGTGAACTCTTAATTTGCATTCCAAGATATGTAAATCCTGCTATGACTATGCAAAATCATTGCTCGTACCATTAAAATAGTTATGGAAATGTAACTTTTACTTTTAATTGTAATTGAAGTGGGAAGAACTTCTTTATGCAGCGTCTTTTCTCCATGTTACTGTGAACACTAAATGATGATGTAGCTTTTTTTGATACATTGCAGGGAAATAATTGGAGGCTGGATTTCTTGATCAAAGATAATAACTATGTAATTGAAAATTGTTATCTGAAGCTGTGTTTACTTATTAGTACAGATTTAATATTAAAATATTTGACCACTATAACATATAATAAAATATAAAAATAATTTTGAACTGTCCCTTAGCACTTTGTCTCCAGTATTGCAGTGCATCTGACAGAGCTTCGTGTTCTCTTCACTCGTGACTGTAACGCTTTGGCTACATTGAACATGTAACATATGTGGAGCACTCGTGGAGCGGAGGTGCCGTGGAATTAATAATTTTACTGGCTACATCTACGGCACAGGGTTGTGTGTAGGGGTACTGAGGCTTCAGGACCTTCTAAAAGCCGGCAATATCAAAACTAATTGATTTGAAAAAAGACTCACAGCAGAGAGAGAGAGAGAGAGCGAGAGAGACACACAGACAGCTCACAAGAATGAGCGAGAGAGAGGG